CGCAGCTTTAAACTCAACGTAAACGGGGCCTTTCATACCTTGATAACATCGCGCTCTTGCAAAGCAGTGCTTAATTTATCTGAAGTATTACTCTGCGTGGAATAAAGACGCTTTCGTAGTAAGTATGCTTAATATTTCCTACGCTCTATTGCCTTCAGGTGTGGAATTGAAATGGGGTATTGATTGAAATAACCCGGATGTCGAGAGCAATTGGGAAATTGACATCGTAATTAACATATGGCTTAATCATGTAATTTGAATTTTCTACTGTTTTAATATTTTAAATTAAATTAGATTATTATTTAAAATTAAACAATAATGTATTTTAGTAGTATTTTCATGCGATTGGTGTTATAAATAATATTATAGTTATAATATGATATTATTTATAAAAAGTTAAGAACATGCATTCGTAGTAAAAATAATATCCCTTCCTTAATAGAATAAAGTTAAAATTCCTTAATAAAATAAACTTGATGGTTGGTGGATGTTGTCGCTCATAGACATCTACATTTATCCTCGATTATGAATCAAAACGCAGATACGTCATCACACCTGAGGACTAAGATGGAACGCCTCGTTTCCAGTAAAAAAAGATCTCCGGATCTCTACACTCACCATACGAAATGCAGCACTATTAAGCTGCTATTTTACGCTGGTATTATGTGAGCGTGGTCCTTCCCCAGTCGAGCCAACCCATTCATGTTACAACCATAATATAGCTGCAACATGGCTTTACCACGTGTATGGTAGCCACGGCGACCAGCTTCAGTTGGAACTAGCCATCTGCGCAGATCAGGATTATAGTACACAAGCGTGTACGCAAGTAGAGGTGCAGTCTTTATTAACTCACTCTTATAGTCCGATGTGATGATGGCAATTCGTCTACAACGGAAAGAGATCAGGCACAAGACCAATAGTTTTACGTGCTTTTTGAGGCATGAGGGACAACATTACCATCACCAACTGCCTGACTCAGGACGGCTACTAAGAATTTCTTGGCAGAATAACACAAACCCGGGATTTGAACCCGATGATCAGTTGTCACGCTTAAAAACAAGTGACCAATGAGGCAGTAGCGAGGATTCCAGGTCATGACAATAAAATCGTTATAAAGTTGGCGACTATTAATATGTCTGTAAAATTTCAGATTATTCAAACGTCTCAAAGTGGACGAAAACCGAATCACAAAATTTTATTACACTCATACATTCATGCCTACATATAGGTCAAGCCATTAACTTATATTACTGTGTGAAGACTGGGTACACTGGGTCCTAAAATGATCTACTCTATACCGATGTAAATTAGTTGCGCGTCTATGTAATTAGTCGTCTTTTGCAAGAACGTTGTAAGTTTTATTTACAAAATTGCCAAGTTAAGTCGTGAACTACGACAAAAGATTAGTAAAAAACCATTTCTTATCACTGATAAGTCAAACTAAAGTCATTAAATAAATTTGTTTACATTATTAAAAAATTGTGTAATTAAATTTTCCAACTGTTCGGCAAGGACAAAACGAGGACGTGCGTGCCGTACAGCTGTGCAAAAATAAGTTTGCATCAGCGCGCATTTTTTTGCATTGCAATGCATCGCAGGGACGACGTAAGGTGGTAGCCCATATAGTGAAAATATTAAATTAAGGGATAATAATAACATTTTATTGATGATTCAATTGGTACAAGAAAATCTATACGTAAAGCGAAATAAGTCTTTATTTCCAGATTTCCTCCTGATCCTGTGCGATATTAAGCGTAGAGTCGTGACATTATGAAGGAATGTAATGAATCGTATCATCACATTATATATTTAGCTAATATATTTGAGTTTTGAAAACAGTCATTCGTTTGTTTTTGCTCATTATTTTTTTCTTTGGCGGCGCTTATTACCGCAAAATGGAAAACATGAAATATCGGTATATTTACGAGTACGAGTTCTACCGTGGCGCCAGTGCTGAAGAAACAGCTCGAAGGATTAATGATGTGTACGGTGCTGGTGTTGCAAAAGAAAGCACGTACGTTTTTGGTTTCAACGTTTTCGTTCTGGAAATTTTGACTTCAGAACCAACCCCGTGGGCGGCTGGAGACCAAATTGGAATATGAAGAATCGAAAACTAATGTGGAAGCGGATCCATCACAAAGCACTTCAAAGATAGCTGCAAGCTTCGGGGTAAGTGATAAAACTATATGAATCCACTTGAAGCAAATCAGGAAAGTATTTTACGTGGTAGAGCTATAAAAGTAAAAAAGTAAAGTTACAGCCTATACACGTCCCACTGCTGCGCTCAGGCCTCCCCTCATTTCTGATAGGATTTAGGGCAAGGAAGTCTCCGCCGCGCTGCCCAAATGCGTATTGACGAACTTCACATGTCTTCGAAATATTTTTTTTTCTTATTCCTCAGACATGCAGGTTTTCTCACGATGTTTTCCTTCACCGCCGAGCACGTGGTAAATCAGCACTTAAAATTGCAATTAACAATTTCATTGGTGCCGGCGGGGAGCTATGCTGCAATTATATTAGTAGTATAGTTGTAGCACGAATGGGTCGGCTCGACCGGGGAGGGACCACGCTCTCACAGAATACCAGCGTCAAATAGTAGCTTAATGCTGCTGTGTTTTGTATGGTGAGTGTAGAGAACCGGAGACCCTTTTTACTGGAAACGAGGCATTTCACCTAAGTCCTCACGGGTGACAGCGCATCTGAATTTTGATTCGTAATCGAAGATAAATGTAAATTTCTATCAGGGCCACTTCAACCACTTACCATCAAGTGGACTTTGTGCTCGTTTGTCACAATGTCCTATAAAAACAGTAAAAAAAAAACTTGAACGATGGGTACCTCGTGAATTGAGTGAATAGAACTTGCAAACATGCGTCGACTGCTGTGTTACTTTGTTCAACCGACACACAAATGAAGAAATTAATCTACTGGTGGTCGTACAACACTCCAATGGCCAATACGAGGTTGCAACTCTAAAACATTTCATCGCCACCGATCAGTTCTTTGATCATAGGGAGAACTTAGAACTTATCTGTTGGGCTAAGCAGATTAGTCTGGTTCTGTGCGATTATCATCTTTACCATTACTATCACTTAAAAAATTGAGCATAGCCCTATCCTTGTCTATCCTAACTTTACTGCTTCCTTTTTTCTTTCATACAATTAGCCAAATGTTTTTTACACTCATATTTTAAACTTCTGGGCAATACCTCACACGATGTGTCAAATTCTCCCTAATGTTACCAGGCAGCTCAGAAATTTCTACAGAGGTTTATCTGGCCATTTTTACTGCTGACGTATGACGTATGACGCTTTGCCAGGTTGCATGTAGTCTTGAGGTAGTATTTACTTATGCTACAATTTTGAAGCTAGAAGCTTAAAATTGGTACTAGTAATATAATCTCGTTTTTATGAATTTTACATCTTTTTTAAAATGAAATACTTTATATACCTACAAGATCTATCCATAATTAGGTAGGTCATCCTATTGAAGGAATCTCAAAGCAGCTTGTATAGTTTTTGAAAAATCAGCGCCCATACAATACAGGGGAATCAGAGAGTATCCTTCATGGAATTCAATTGAAAACTAGTTGTAACTGGTTTTTATATGTTTACAATAAATACAAAAGTACACAGTAGTTTGTCATTGATAATGATTTCTTATATTTATGCAAATACCAAAAATTTGGGTTTTAAATTTTGACGCAATAAAATAAATAACAAATAATTTCTCTCTTTCTCTTTCTTTCACTCTTTTTTGAGTTAATGATTTTAAATCTTCTTACATAACTATACTTTGAAAAAAAAATACTATTTTACTACAATTACAAAATATAGACTACTCTAAACGTATTAAATGTTATATTATAATTGTTGCGAACAATAACATTTTTTCAGTCGTGAAATAAGAACTCTTTACTTGTGAAGCAAAAGAAAAACATGACCCCGGGAAATCAGCCGATCGACCGTAATTTATTTTATTCCCGTGAAACATATAAATAAATTCCAATTCACCGATTAAGGTACGAATTTCGATCTGGGCGGGATCCAGACAAATGGCAGGATTACGTCGAGCGAACAAGGGTGGTTTCATTTGGCGCGTTGGAAGATTGCCGGACTCGAGGCGAGAGTGGCATACAAAATTTCTACTGGCCTGCCGGCACATTGATAAAACAAAAAAAAAAATAAGTCCTTTTTATTTTTACGCGTAGTTGAATTAATTTTTTTCTGCATAGTAGTAAATACTTATATTTATTTCTGTCGTTTGAGATTATTGAGATATTTAAACAGTATTCTCATCTCATCATTATAATGCCTAAAATTTGTAGACTATATATAAATAAATTAGTATATTTGACTATAGTGTTTAGTATGTGGATATATAGATTTTTCGAAACGGTACTTCCGTCTAAAATAAAGATCTGAGTTACCCTCAAGTCGCGCCTAAAGAAGTTTTAGTTTAATAAATAAAACACTTGTTCTTTAGTTGCAAAGAACGTGTAATACGCAGGTTTTTTTTGCTATCGATATTTTGATGATCACGTTATTCCATTATTAGCTAGTAGAGACAATATTTGCGCAAAAACATATCGTTGATTATTGTTTTTAGTTCTATAAGTTATAAAATTTGTGATGATGCATTTTAATCTACTTCTGATTAGATGAGTTATAACAGCACAAGGAGAAGGTTAGTGCCACTTTATCTAAAAAGACGACTATGACCTATGTCTTAATCGTTAAATAAACTGCTATATTCTTCTACAGTATTTGAAAGGTTATCGTTGTAGTCGTAATTATTAGAAGATATAACTGATGTAAAATTTATGTTAAAAGGTTGTAGTTAGATGAAGTATCAGAGATAATTTTTGGTTGACTCATCAAGAGGTTTTAGTGCCGTACCTCGGCAAAATTGAGGGTGCAAAGATCCGTTTATGCATATGGCCGAAGCATAAAACATTAAGAGAAAGGGGGCAGTTTGGAATTTTTGCATACCGGGCTAGGATGCATCGATTTTTTGTTGAACTGGAGCCATCTATAACCGTCATGGAGCAAAAACTGACATACCGATTTCGGTACATCATGAGCTCAAAAACATTTGATGACGCTAAACTCAAACAGCTACAACGTGAGGCTCCCTTATCAGCTGAAAATGCTACGGCTGCGGATGCGGCACCACAATTTGCAAAGCAACCTCCACACGTGGTTGCTACCGTGAGTCTTCCTGTTATGGTTGATTAAGACGATAATGGAATAGACGCCCATAAAGTAAAGCAAATAAGGAGTAAATTAGAAGAGGTGATTACGGGAACGAGCAGTATGACTCTTGAAATCAACCACGACTTCCCTGTATACCCCTAAGCAAGCAAAATCGAATTGTCGTGAGGGCTCTAACAGTCTGCCGACTGACATACTGTCTGTAACACTAACAGTCTGCCATATCATTGGCGCCAAGTTTTCCACGGCTGGACGCACTACTGGACACAATAGTACTATCCCAGGCTGGAGAAAAAAATTGAAGACCGTATTGCAAATAAAAGGGCCCTCATCGGTAGACTGACAAGCTTCAGGTCAGGTAATAAACACTGAGAGTTATGCGCACTGTTAAAATTCAGTTTGACCCAGCCGGGTATCACGCAAAAACTAAAGGAAAGGGGAAAGAGTGGTTCAACCAGAATTGTCTCCTCCAGAGTGATGACAAGAGGTACTTTCAGCGCCTAATCAGGCCGACACTGTCGTATTCTGGCGTGGCCTATAGTCCGTAAACCACAGAAAAGGCCCTTGGCCAGAAGTTGCAGCGAGTCAATGTGCGAGTGTTACGCCCGTGGACTCCGTAATCATAACGCAGGAAGACGTAGCTAAAGAATGGAAAAGTCAGGGACTCAGCGGGCTGCATCATTACTTTCTGAAGGGGTTCGCGGCGTGTCACGCTACTCTCGCCCGGCAATTTCAAGACGCTTTCGATCAGAAGTCACTTCCGAGCTTTTTCACTATCGTAATCACTAACTTGATTCCTAAAGATCAGGGACACAAACCCGTGTAAGTACCACCCCATCATTGACATCCATTTTGAGTGCGAGAATAAATCGTCACCTGAATTTAAAACAGATGATGTCACGCGCTCAAAATGGATGTTGGGGCAATGGTCGTGGAACGAAGGAACCACTCCTTATTGACGCGGTCATTGGCAAAGTAATTAAATGCAATTGCCGGTACTTCTCCACCGCCTGGATAGATTACAGAGAAGCATTCGATTCGGTGCACATACATGTTATAAGAAGATCCTCGAGCTGTACAAGGTTGACTGTATAGTTAGAGACCTTTCGGGCAGTGTATGGAGTAGTGGAGTACGAACTTTTGTCATCTAGGCGAGCGAATGACGGCTGCGGAAACCTGAATAATAATAAGAAGGGGTATCCTTAAAGGCGATTGTTGAGTCCAATTTGGTTCTGCCTCTTTCTGCACCCTCTCAGTACCATATTGGAGGAATTTTGGAGAGGATTTCAGCTTCGAAAAGGAGGGACAAAAGTGACCCACTTTTTATATGGAGGATCTGTACTTATTCGACTCCAGTTGCTCTTATCTTATAGTATGGCAAAATATCACTTGTGAGTTTAGCAATTCTATCAAAATAGAGCTGGGGACGGATAAGTGTGCGGTACTCCATGTTAAAAGGAGTAGAAAACGTCCTGTGACCAAACCGAAAAAAACCTGTACATCCAGTGCGTGTTGCTAGTAAAGACTTTTGAAACTGAGACGTGGTCCTTTACTGCTGGCCATATGAGGATGCTCAAGGTCTCTCAGCGAGCTATGGAGCGAGCTATGCTCGGGGTTTCTCAAAATAAAACTTAGAAATGAGGATATCCGCAGTAAAACTAGAGTGACCAACATAGCCCAACGGATTAGTAGGCTAAAGTGACAATGCGCCGACCATATAGCTCGAAGACTGATAACCGATGAGGAAAAAAGTTTCTCGATAGGCAGCCTCGTACCGGTAGGCTAAGTGTAAGGTGACCCCACACTAGATGGAGTGACGACCTGGTAAGATATGCAGGAAGTCGATTAATGCAGGTGGCTCAGGACCATGCTTTGTATAATTCCTTGGGTGAAGCCTATGTTCAGCAATGGACTTGTGGAGGGCTGTTATAATGATGAACAACGGGATATCCCATTGATACCCATTTCTGAGTGAAGGCCTCCCCAATCTTTTTCCATAAAGTTCTATCATCTATCATTCACCTATCATATATCATTATCGTCACAGCGTTGCTAGTGATACATTTTCCCAGCAACGCAAATTTCAACAGTTCGTTGCGGTGAAAAATTTAGAGAACCTTATTTTTAAACTTGGCACCTAATTAGCACCTAAAAATCTCATAATTTTGGCTATTTATAAATGTAAATTCCTGAATTTGCGTTGCTGGCGATACACAACTTAACAATAATATTACGTCAATATTACCCTAAGCTACAGAAAGTAAGACATGGCATTTCTCAATTTTGAGTTGGTTTCAGGGCAAGGAAATGTCCACCGCCCTGCCCCAATACGTATTGGCGGACTTCACATTTCTTCGAAAACTTTTTTTTATTTCTCAGATATTTTCCTTTGGTACTCTGAGTTACAGACAAAACAAATTCAATTTTACTCTATTGTATATCTAATTTTGTATATTATATTTTAAATTGTTATTAGAGGGATGATGCTGCCCATCTGCTGCTTCGGTTTTCCTTTTCCGACACCCACTCAACCCTGTACTTTGTATGTGGTAGAGCCATACTGCAGCTATTAGCACGAACGACCACGTTCTTACAGAATACCAGCGTAAAATGGCAGCTTAATGCTACCGTGTTTCCTATGCTGAGTGTAGATAATGGGAGAACATAGAGTATCCAAAACCTACGACCATATATGATTAGGTAGATGACCGTGAAGGAGGCGACAGAATTAAGCCAGAATCGTACCAAATGGAAGTCCTTAGTCTCTGCCTATCCCCCTGGATATTAGACGTGAGGGTTTATTTTTATCTTTATTCAACTGCAGTCTTTAAATTGTATTTTAATCACTGTAACTTTATTACTTTGTTTTGTAGTTTTTAGATTTGAACCGACGACTTTAATAGATGCAATAAAGTCTACACTGAGAGCTTGTAAGCTCGGCTGCACCGCTTTTATTTTATGTCGAGAATTACGTATAAATGTCTTTGAGGTTTCTTTAAATAAAAAGTTACTTAACAGCTTTTGTTATTAAGTTTCATGTATAATGGTCTATTGTTCACCTTGCGCATAATACAGAAAATCCAATAAGTATATAATAACTTCTGTATAAGTAATGTTAAGATTGCACAGAACCTTATAAAAAATTAAGGCACTGGCTACTGTCGACATAAGTCAGCAGCAGAGTTTTTTATAGTTTAAGGGTGTGAAACGAGCACACAGTTCACCCGATGGTAACTGGATACAGGAGCGCTCGGACCTCTATATCTATTCTCGATTAAGAATCAAAATACGGATGCATTGTCTCCCCTTAAGACCAAGATGGAATGCTCGCATCTAGTAAAAAGGGTATCCGGTTCTCTACACTCATAGTAGCTTAAAGCTACGATTTTACGCTCGTGTTCTATGAGAGTGTGGTCCTTCCCTGGTCGAGCTAACCCACTCATGCTACAACTATATCATGTTGCAGCATGACTTTACCACGTTAGGGCTGTATATGTGTTTGGGCTACAGCACTAACTTACCATCAGGTTGGATGTATGCACGTAAGTTCTAGTATCCAATTGATAGCGCAGCCATCAAGTTTTTATAAAATTCTATATTTGTGAATCATAATTACTCATATTCACAATATATGTTAGAATATTTCTTTCAAAGAAAAACCACAAAGTCTATACTTACACATAACGCTGAGATAGAGCTATTAATAAATTTTATATTTGTACCGTAATATGTTCGCATTGGATTCGAAATGAAACTCACACGCCATCTACGAGAAAGGTCAGAACAACATAATATGTTGGGCCAGTTGGTACATTTATAAACCTTTATTTAATTAAGCGACTAACAGAGCCTTAGTGATCTCAATATACCTGGCGTGTTATCGTTAAAATTCACAAAGTAGGTTAATCTAGGGAGCAATCATAACGTAGCTGACGTGTCCGAAATAAGTAGAGTAGTTAAATAACAGACAAGATTATATCACAATATATATATTACACTGAAAATATTTTTTTTTTTGGTTCCTTTCTCGCTCAAAGGCGAAGTATAGCTATTCAGCGAGGAAACGCAGCCAGCGTTCTTGGCACGATACGACGGGGAGTAAGACTTTATCACAATTTAATTAAAACAATTCATATTTATTTTATGATATGTGATATTTTTTAGAGAATAAAAGTGATAAACAAGCACAGTCTCCTGATGATAGGTGAATGCTGTGGCCCATTGATATATATCTATTCTCGATTAAGAACCAAAATGCAAATGCTTTGTCAGGGGTGACAGGGACAACTAAGATCGAATGCTTCTTTCCAGTAAAACGAGTTACCGGTTCTCAACATTCGAGAATACCGGCGTAGATAAATAAAAAATTACTTATTTCGGACAACTTGAAATCCATAGGAATTGTTAGTAGAGAAAAACTTACATCTATGTTAGTAATATAATTAATACGTTTTTAAATATTTAATTATTAAGCAGGACATGGTCCTGGAGGTCATATTTTTGATCAGTGGACAGTCTCCACTGTCGGAAACCTCACTCAACACACTGTGACCGCTGCTGCGCATTCTGTAAAAGAGCAGATTGATGTTGCTGTGTTTCGTATGTTGAGTGTAGAGAACTGGAGACCCTATTTACTGGAATCGCAGGCATTCCACCTTAGTCCTCAGAGGTGACACGCATCTGCATTTTGATTCCTAGTCGGGGATAGATGTAGATGTCTAAGGGCTTCTGTATCCTTTTACCATCAGGTGGACTGTGTGCTCGTTTCACAGTAGCCAGCGCCTTAAATTTTATACAATGTTCTGTGTATTCCAATATAAATATAAAACCAATGTAACTAACGAACTTACAGACAAATCGTGCTCATGCTACTTTGCACTGCAGCCCGTGGACACCTGCAATGAAAAACCTAGAGATTCGCCTGTACATTTTTTCTAAGATACTTGCTTTATCTATACTCCTACCATAAAATAGCAGCGCATGCACTGCTACTTAATGGCAGATATAAATACAAGTGTGGTGCT